GGCTCACACAAAGAAGCTGGGGAGGGGGACAAGAGTTTAGGGCTTGTTCACCGTTCGGTCACTAAACAACACCAAAATATATAGCAGTCTTATGTGCATGCTTTATAAACTGTTGTAGAAAGGTCCCATCTTACCTCCATGACCACTGAAGTATCACCCGAAAGAAGTGTCCACTCATAATTTACAATTCCGTTATCATCAAAACTTTCTGTGCCCTTCAATGTGACTGCCTCATTAGGCTGCACCTTCATGTCCATCCAAGCCCGGGCTACAGGGGGACGATCATCTGCTGTGAGAGAAAGAAACACTATTTCAGTCTTGATCTTGTATTTCTACATACTGCATTAAGGGCAGCAAACAGATACAAATATAATTAAAATATTCCTATAAAAATTCCTATTAAGAGAAATTACAATTTTCCAATAAAACAAAAGGATGAAATAACAAAATTGTTAGATCCAACACTTAAAAGGGGAGGGAATAAGCACATGGTAAGGGAAAACAATAGCTATACATATCCCACATTCAACCTGGATACAGTAGGCAAAATTGAGACCAGACATTATGTATTGCTAATGTTTAAGTTTTGTTTTATGCAGGTGGCTTATGTTACCCATAAGGAAGACACCTCTCTGACTTGGTTTTAACTACAAGTAGATACAGCATGTCAACAAGGTAGATCAATATTTTTAATACACCTGCTTCTAAGTTATGTAGCTACTACTATAGGCCCAGCAGATCATGATCTATCAAGCTTTACTTTCAAGTCACCATCTGCTTGATGGATAATACAATCAAGATTTTCTTTAAAAACGCGAAAACTCTCAAGAGAAGCCAATGCAGTGTAACCAGATTGAGAGGATATCAAATGGTAATTAAACAGGCATTTATATTTAATCTTTCCTTGGCTGCAAAGAAATATAAGGCTTAAATCTTTAAACAAAGATTTTAGGTTTTGTAAAGACACTAATATTGCACTGAATTATACAAACTGTGATAATTGCACAGGACAAGCAGGAGATGTCTTGAGGCTTAACAGTAAGAGTCAAAACAGCATTCTCAAGTGACTGAAGTGAACCACAGAATTTGAGAAAGAAAAGAACAACAAACAAGCAATTCTGCCACTTTTGCTAAGTTGACAATAATCAGCTACGGCCAGGTATTTCCCCAGCCATGTTGCTGGATTGTGTGGGAAAGAACTAGAGTCCATGCTATGATTTTTAGCAAACCACCCCACTTGAGAATATATTAGTGGAGCCAAGAAAACACAGACTAAAATGTTCAGTTTTCATGCTTCTTTATTAAGCAAGGTGTTTTCCAGAACAGAAGAGCAATGGATTGGGGTGTGAGGACACGGAGAGACTGACAATACTCTTCTAAAGCAAAAATGGCTTGTTACACAGTACTGAAAGGAAAGCTGTAAAAGACAACATTTGTCTGTTGGTGAGCAAGCTCCAGAACAATCCACACAGGGGAGTAAGCCATCCCTAAAAACCAGCTCACTGTGCACATACAATGTACATCAACTTCAGGTAAATAATTGACATTGAATTATTTGCACCTTGCTGTGAGAAACTGCAGCACACTGATAACACACACCCAAACCAGGCTTCAACCAGGTAAACACTTTGGGAAAACATCGTGTATAAGATTCCTTCCCTGTACCCATCTTTGTTAGACTTGAAGGTGACACTGCAGTGAAAGCAAAACCTGCCTCTCTCATTCCAGACCCCCATGAAGTAAAATTCCATATTTATTTATGGAAGATTCACTGCATCTTCCAGGACACTTCATAATATACACAGCCTTCAACTTTGTAGGATGGGTGTTTTTTGTTCATTTTAAATGCAGCCTGTATTTTTAAATGTGAAAAACAATTGTCAGCATATTTCAATCATATCCCCCTCATATCTCAAAAAAAAAAAAACCCTGTTATTTTAAGGCATGGAAATTAATCCGATGTTGGTAGTCTCCTAAAACCTCATTTGCCCTTACTCCAATATACAGAAAATTATGCAGTTTTATTTTAAGTTTATTATTACATGTTTCTACTGAGGCTTACTGAACAGTTTACAATAAAATATAAAGCTGGAAACAAAAGAGGGAAACAGTGAAGATGGAATAGAGGTGATAAGCAGCAACAAGGAACCAAACTGAAAACTAGTAGTGGGCTGAAGTATTCGGCCCAGTTTGCTTCAATAATTTAGGATTATTGGAAGGCTAGCATTAACCCTACTTGAACACTGCACCTTATTCTTCCCATCACTAGTAACAGAGAGACAAATATCAACACAAGATGTGTGTGACAGAAGGAAATCAGTCCAGTCCAAGTCAAAATAACTCTAGCTAAAAATGGAAGAAGAGGAAGAAATCAACAGCACAATATACTATCCCATGGGCTCCACTGGAATGATCCTCCTTTTTTCCTCCTCCTCGACCACCAACTACTCTACTTTGACATGAAATAATTAGGTAACAATGAGAAATCTGGGCCTGAATCTGGTTGCTTTCCTTTCAGTTCCCACAACCCTTTTAATTTTTGTGCCATATGCATTAGACTGCAAATGCTTCAAGCCAAGATTCTTAATCTCTGTACAGTACTTGGAAACAAGCTGGAAACAAGCCCGCCCCACGTCCAATAGTACTCTGTTTCTCCGAAAGTAAGACGTAACCTGAAAATAAGCCCTAGTACAACTTTTCATAATGCTTGTAATATAAGCCCTACCCGAAAAATAAGCCCAGTTAAGTGAAACCCTGCCCTCCACCATTGTGCAGCAACCATTAAGATGACATGACTATATTTGAATAAATGTAAATTGCTGTACATGAAAAAAATAAAACATCCCCTGAAAACAAGTCCTAATGCACTTATTGGAATAAAAATTAATATAAGACCCTGTCTTATTTTCGGGTAAACATGATAGGTGGTAGTGGTTGTTAATATACCTTCAATCTGGCACATTACATAACATATAGCACCCCTAATGGGGCTTTCAAGGCAAGTGAAATATTTAAGGAGTGGTTTTACCAGTTACATATCCCCAAATGAGTTTCCATGCCTGAACGGAGATTCAAACCTGAGTCCAAGTCTGTCAGTCTATCCATAACTAACCAAGATTCCTGCCAAAGACTGGGAAACTGTTGCACTGGGGGTGAGTCCCCAAGTAGATGTACAATAGAGTGTGCTGTGCTTTATATGTGTGATGGGAAAATATCCCTATTGGTAAGAATTATATCTGGCCCCAGGAATTATAATCTGGTTCCATCCTATGCTCTTTGCCTCACCCACTGCTGGGCCAAAAAACATTCTTGTACTCACTTCTATTTTGTACCCTCTGTAGAATTTCTGTTTGGAAAAATGTTGTGCAAGGAGAACTCTAACTCTCAGTTTGGAATTGCTATGACACATGATACTACTAAACAATAATTGAGATGGGTTACATCATAAATAGGATGACTAACATAATGGGAAGAATGATTACAGATGGTGTCACCATTGCTCAGGTTAGTCAATCCAAACAGAAAACAATTTCAAGATTAAAATTTATCAGCAAGTCACATCTGTAGACCATCTATATTACATCATTGTCATGCAGCAACCTTTTGCTGCATTAAAACCTATACAGAAAGACCACATGCTTTATTTCCACTTAGTGATCGCTAAACCAATTGTTGACTTGTAGAGCCCTAAGCAACTACGTATTGCCATAGGCCAAGAGTCAATATCAATCCTGCATTTTCTAACCAGCCTCCACATATCATAAATGTACAATGTTAAATTGTTCTACTTGTTTTCCTAATGTTCACCTTTATTTATTTATTTTATTCATTCATTCATTCATTCATTCATTCATTCATTCATTCATTCATTCATTCATTCTGTAACTGCATTTATACCAACCTTTCTTTCAATGAGATAAAGGTAAAATATATAGTTTTCCTCCTCACTTTATCTTCACAATAATCCTGTGAGGTATATCAGGCACAGAGTGTAGGATTGCCATCTTTATTCATTTCCCTTGGATCTGCCTAGATGTCATCAAACCAATTAACTAGCCTCAAATTCCAAGCTTTCTCTGTACAGTATTTTTAAAGGAAAGTGCGGGCGTGATAGGACAGCTCTGTTCTGTGGTCTAGTCTACTCTGGGGACAATCTGGTTTGTTCCTTCTTCTGGGGACCATAATATACAGGCCATTGCGAACTCTGTCCCTCCACCCATGCCTACTCATAACTTTTTAGGTTCCAGCTAGGTTTTTTTTGGTGTGGGTAAAATTGCTCTGTTTTGATTTGACTCCATCATATGTGACTGAAAGAACTCAACGAAAGCAGATGGCTTCACCTGTCCCTTTGTGTAAGCTACGGTACTTCTTGATCAGGGAAGCCCTTCTAAGGCAGCACTTATGTGACATGCCTAGTGGGAAACATGAAAGCTTCCTTTCTCTCCCCCTCCATGGGGAAGTGGGAAGAAGCTTTCAATTTCCCAAGATCATGAAACAGCTTAAGCAAAGCATGGAAGAGGATATGGGGAGGAACAAGAAGATATTTTGGTTTTATTTTCTTTCCCCCTTAAGGGAAATGAGGGTCAAATAGGGTGGCTTAGCATGCTGTCTGGTTGAGGCTTGCATATGGATGTCAGGATCCACCCAAATGACCTATCATATCTCATAAGAGATCCTGTTTAGCCCAATCTAGCTCATCATGGCTGGAATAATTTGGACATTTACTCACACCAACAGTTTTCAGTACTTTTTACCACTTTTTTCCTTGATATCAGATGACAATGTGTTACTTGTAAGGGATTCCTATTTTATTCTCATGGTTCTGTACATGGATTTTTGCCATTAGCAAAAATGACAGCCATCTCATAAGAAGATCACTAGAAGCTCCTGTGTGGGACAAAATAACTTCATTTTATTTTTACAGTACAGTAAAACTCTGGGAGGCAGTGGAAGACAGGAGGGCCTGGCGTGCTCTGGTCCATGGGGTCACAAAGAGTCAGACACAACTTAACGATTAAACAACAAAATGCCAATACCTGCTTTATGTGGTTCCCTTCTACATATTTTCTTCTAGAAACAATCTTGTAAGGTAAGTTTGGTGGAGAAGTACTGATTGGCTCAAGAACACCAAGTAAGCTTTGTAATTAAGCAAGGATCTAAACTTTGAACCTAACTGTTTCAAGCCCAGCACTTAAAATTACACTTCACTGTATCTCTCATATCAATTGTTATAATAACATAAATTAAGTCGAGGCGGAAACATATTGCAAGAAAAACAATGCAACAGCT